ATTTGACAGTTATTTGTAAGCATCATAGAGTAATAGATTGAATGTGGCAGTCATTTTTTCTCGGCCCATCCCCACATACCAAGCACTACCGTGCTTAGAGATACAAGTGTTGGTAAAAGTCTGTTGAAAATCCAGTTGATAGGTGTCGGAAAGGTTCTTCAAATATTTATTTAGCTGAAACACTATTTATAATACTACCACCCATATCCTATAAAAAAACACAAAAAACATTAACCGCCACAATAAAGAATTGAGGAGCTTTCTCAGTTTATGATATACATGTATGTGTATGATAAATCATTATTAACTAATGAAGTACTAAAAAATAAAGAAAGAAAAAAAGGAGAATGTTGATGCTTCTACTGTTTGCTTACAATGGGTATTAGAGTATAGGTTAATTAACTTAATATCTCATCAGTATGTTATGTACGATACTTTAATTACGAAACTTCAACGGCTGCATAATGTTTAGTTAATGGTTAATCTATCAACATGAAAAATATCCATTTAAGTTAGTTATATATTTCAGATATTGGACTTAGTAAAAATGTTTTGTCTTATTTTCTATTTTTTCAGTAAGACAGGAAGTATTTTCTACTTGAAAGTTTACTGAAGTAAACCGAAATAAATATGAGAATCATATGGTTAATATTAAGTTCATGGAAAAAGTTAACCAAGCAATATCTAGTTAAAGTCATGGTTGAATTTTGAGAACAATCTCAGCTAGACTTGTAACCTCAACTTCGCGTCATACCACAGACATCAACGCTTTAGAGATCATCATTAAAGTGAAAATAATATTGTGTGCGTTTAGAAGCACTGATACAGAAAGCCTAATTCAACCGCACATTATTTTATGCGTTTACTCTTTCAACGGCCTGAATAGCGTAACGAATCGAACGAATATGTTATAAGACCTAAACAAGGGCGTTGGCAACAGAATTAGGCTTAACAGGCGGGGTCTGTAAGATATTTCCAAATGTATAACGGAATGCGATAATTACTACAGTGTTTTAAACTTTCTATTCTGTACCAGCTGTGCAGTTTGTCGTACTGAAAACGACGAATGACATATGTTTAGAATAGGATTTTTTCCATTTTTTACAAACAACAAAAAATAGTTAATTTATTGATTACAAACTGTCTTTTTTTTGGGGGGGAGTGGGAATGGGTTTGTAGATAATGTCTAACGCCACAGAAAAATTGTACTGATAGTCTTCCTTCAAGGTGAACTTATGAGCAGTGTATTTGACACGTGAACTGCGTTTTAACACCAAGGCTGAAGAAGTACATGCTAAATCCGACATACTGTTTGGTTGAAGACACCGAAATATGTATTTATGGTTGTATGAGTTGTTAAAAAGTGCCTTACAAAGAACTGCTAGCGAGTTAATGTTTTAGTTTAGTTCGAAGAGCACTCACCTGGCATGATTGAGGTTTCAGTTTCGATTCCGAGATCAAGAAATGTAAAAATGAAATTACAACATATCCGCATTAAAATGTTAAGATACATAGTGCATTTTTACTTTTATTTATCCAAGTTTAAATGTTTGATTGAAATACATCTATAAAATATCTCAAAGTATGCAATTCAATACGCAGATATGATCGTTAATGGAAATGCTTTGAAAGGTTTGATTTATGCATAAGCCTATTGACGATTGTTGTTATTTATCTGCAGAACCAAAAATCGATACAATTGTTTTATAGTTAACAATTCATGGGTTATAATAAAATAGCATCTGTTCAAACATGGGAATGCTTTAACTTTCAAAGCTATGCATGTTAAAGCTCGTTATCGTTGAAAACATTTTAAATTTCATAAACTTCTATTCTTATGCTCCGTTCTAAGTCTAAAAAAATGTATTTTTAATAGTATATGGTTTAATTTTTTTTCTTGACTTTAGATAATTAGAAAATTATTAATATTATATTATTTACTTCACTGGTTATGATGGCGTATTACACTAAGCACGTCACGTCTTTTGTCATTATTTGGTTGTTGTCTGACATAAAATATTTGAAATATGTACTCTTTTCCGATAATTGTAACCAAGATGAACTATCATAATTAGAAAATTTCTTTTAAGTTTGTTTATAATTAAGCAGAAATCTACCTAATTGGTTATCTGTGATCTGCCCACCACGGGTATCGAAACCCGGATTCTAGCGTTGTAACTCCGCAGACATACCGCTCTGCCACAATTCTATATAGTCCAGAAGAAGAAACTTAAATATTAACTGTGTTTTAAAATCACTTAAGTTCTATTCAGAAGACAGAGTTTGTAAGTAGGCTTAACGAATCAGTTTTACAAACATGTTAAGGAACACTAAGAAAAGTAACTGACGTATATTTTAAATATGTCTGGTAACCGCAATGAATGCTTTTAACTATTCCCTTCAAAAGTTATACTTTGTTGAAATAAACTTTTTACCACCATCATTTCAATTTTACTTCTCTTTGTAGAGATTCAGGTAATGATATAATTCATTTAGAAGTTTTGGTTATTCAAACAAATTATTCAAAGTGACGAAGATTTATCATAAGTAATTCCTTTCAAACAACAAAAAATTAAATGACATCGTCGAGACAGACGTAGTCTTGGTTTCAAAATGTGGATAAGATATAAATACGTTAAACCGTATAACCTTCGCTCCACTTTAAGGTGTGCATATACCATCCGATACACTTCATCGCCCAATTTCTAAAAACTCCTTACACACACACAACAATACCGACTTATACGCCAGTGACAGTTTATAACTCACAACGTACATCACTAATAATAGCATGCCGTTTAAACAGTTTGCACCCAGTGGCACAACGGTAAGTCTGCGGAATTATAACTCTAAAAACTGGGTTTTGATACCCGTGGTGGGCACAGTACAAATAGCCCATTGTGTACCTTTGCGCTTAACTACAAATAAATAAATAAAGTGTCAAAGGTTGACATCGCTCTTCAAATACACCAGTTTCAGCCGTCGTTAAGGCACAGAACGTGTTTTACTTATTAAATAACTGACATGAGCATTTGTTAAGAATGTGTCTAATATAGTTTTAGCAAATAAAGATATGAATGTTAATAACGTGTATTGGAAGATACCACATGAGACATCATATGTGTAAGTTATTCTACGGTGCATTCTAAATAATGTAATTATTAACCTTTAATCATAATTATTTAAAAAAACAACTAAAATTATTCTAGGAAATAAAATAAAACTGAGAACAAGCTTACAAATACAAAGCAGGGGAATAAGATATGCCGAAATTTGCTGGTCAAGGGTCAATTTCAGATGACAATCCCAATACTCTATCGAATAGAGGCGTCGCTAGGTGCTGACACACAGGGCACGTACACCCCTTTTATTTGACAGTGCCCGGAATTCCCAATTGGTGTCTCGAAAAAGCAGAATAGAAAACCAGGATCGATATCTACTGAAACGCCGAAAATTCCCGCGTCTATTGGCCCCAGCTCAGAATCTTTAAAACACCTAGCGACGCCTCTGCTCTCGAATCTCATTTCCATCTTCAGTTCTTTTTCCAACAGCTGGAGTTGACAACTTTATTACTGTGAGTAGAGCTGAGAATGAAATGCAATTAAAGATTCCAGGGAAGATTGTTATTGCTAGCTCAGTTATATACTTCTTCCAAATTTTATTTAGTATTAAGAAAACTTTACATAATCTTGCTCACACTGTCTCCGTTTCGCAAAAAACACTCGTGTACTACGTGGGTTGAGGATGCTCTAGATGAAGTTTGAACCCGACGTTCATCACTGAAGCATTTCCTTAGGTCATTACCTCGTATGGTGTTTAACAGTTGTAATAAAAGTTGGTAATATGACTTGTTGGTGACACATTAGATTTTTGTACGAATGGTTTTTAATACACTTGTACACTTTGTGTCTAATAGGAAAGTATCACTTTCTAGCTGTTATCAGTTGAATAAAAGCTGTTGTGGAATCGGTTTAAGTAAAATTCGTTTCAAAATAATTTAGTTACTAAAATAATGTATGATAAAAAAGTCTTCCTACCTTTGTGTAAAACATATAATTCTAGATGTTGTTAAATTCAAGAATCCAGTAAACACGTTGATAAACGTGGTTCAACGGTCCAAAGATATCAATGTTTCTTTAACCCTCATTTTATGTTTCGGGACTATTTGACCCGACACTAGTTTCCATAATATTATGATGTAATTATATAAATCATACATAGCTTTTAGCTTATTATAATGAGGGTTTACATTAGTTTCTAATATTTAACACAAAAAGTAAAAGCTATGCAAAGAAAAAATATTCAATCAATTCTTTACATTCATGATACTTAGAAAACACGCGGTATATTGCACATAATAAATATAATCTTTGCATTCATGATACTTAGAAAACACGCGGGATATTGCACATAATGAATATAATCTTTACATTCATGATACTTAGAAAACACGCGGGATATTGCACATAATAAATATAATCTTGAAAATTATATTTATCTTTACATGCATGATACTTACAAAATACACAGTATAGAAAACCAAAATGAAAATGAGAGCGAATGTAAAAATATGTAGCTTATAAAAATCATGACAATTTTCCTTCGATCTTTGTATATCTTGTATTGTAATACTTTTCAGTTAAAATTTTTCCTGCAATGGAAAGGAGTGAAAACGCATCTATTTTTGGTACAAAACAAATACAAAACGGTAAATTCAAGGTGTACTAGCATCTATTAAGATATTTCTTATTTTCTACCTTGCGTCCAGAAAAGCAACCTTGATTTAAGCAATTTTTTTTTTATTGGATGTAATAGTGGAGAATATTGTATTACCTCTCTATTAACAAGCTCCAAATTTATAAGAATTAGATATTCCTGGACAGGCCACTTCAAAAAGTAACACCCATAGATATTCACCTATAAATAGACACTCTGAGCTAGATAAGTGGTGACCTTGAGGCTGCCGGGGATTAACTGCGTGCTGTCTCTCCCTCCGTAAATTAAGTGCGGTTGTTGTTGAAAGTAGACGTGTTATGCTAGTGCTTCACCACTATACCAACGTTAAATCACGAAACACCAAAATCATGTTGTATTGGATTCATTAGATTACCTGTTGAAGCTGAACTTGTGGGTGAGTCATACCTAACCTCATCAACATTTATTTGAAGGTTAATAGCAATGAAATTAACGTAGATAAATCGGTGTAAATAAACTGAACTTTGTTTGAATGTTGTTGGACATCACGTGCAGCTAGCTTAGCGTCACCTCGAAACCTACGCTACAGTACAGGTGGGGGTAAGCTTGTAAACGAAAAGTTTGGGAGTTTGTGTTGGCTTTAGTATAAAGCTTAGACTGCTGTTTTATGGTTATACGAAAAAATAACATTAACTATGTTTGAATGTTGTTGGACATCACGTGCAGCTAGCTTAGCGTCACCTCGAAACCTACGTTACAGTACAGGTGGGGTAAGCTTGTAAACGAAAAGTTTGGGAGTTTGTGTTTGCTTTAGTATGAAGCTTAGACTGCTGTTTTACGATTATACGAAAAAATAACATCCAAACTAAGTACTTTCTATTTATTTATTTAATTTTTGAATGATGTTTTTGCTGATGTTAAAAGGTCCAGGGTAAATACATGCTAAACATAGCTTGCTTCGTGATTCGTCCACTAGCGGTAGCTCTTCTGATTTGTTCGCAGCAACAAAAAGACTGTTGGTGTAAGTGATGCTAGTTTTTTTTTGTTTTTTTTTCTTATTTCAGATTGAGTTCTTTTCAATCATCAACATATAACTTGTACTGATGCGTACTTGGTGTGCTGTTACAACTGTCTGCAAACTATTGCAACGCTTCTAAACATTTTGAAGGCCAAAAATCAAACAAACGGATATTCTATACGGTGTATCCATATGAATAAAAATAAATAAAAGTAAAGGTGATGATTGAGTAGAAGTTCGGAAAAGCTCTTGAGTAAAAATAGTAAAAAAATTAATCTTAGAATTCTTCATTTTGAAAATAATTTATAATATTCTTAGTGAAGTAGCTCATCATAAAAAAAATTCAATCATTAATTTAGGCTTTTAAACAGTAAGTTAACTGTGTTTGTTCTTGAATAACCACATTTGAAATTAACAAAGTATTAAATATATTCTTATGTTGAGAAATTTATTTTATCACATTTTTAAATGTAGCATAAAGGCACGTCAATTGTTTATACTTTATTTTATCAAAGTAGTCAGTTAAAGTTTTGATAACTTACAGAATGGATCTTTGCAAAAGGTAAGCCCACGAGTACTTCGAGTTAACTAGTTACCAAACTTCAATAGAGGAATGAACATTTAGGCTGTGAAAATAAATAGGTTCTTAAATAAATATACATAGGGCTAAATCCTAGACGTTTTGTTTATTTTAATATTCTGTTCGTTTGTTTGAGTTTTTTTTATTATTATTACATTTAACAAAACGAAATACATACAAACGGTTCTAGATAGAAACATACTGTGTGGGCACACCCAACTCCAGCAGATTCTTCCCCCAGGGGTAGGATCAGGCTGTAGTAAACAGGTAATGGTGGTCTTCAAAATAAGAATGATCGACCTTTCTCTCCTTAGCGAGTCCCAGAGTGACAGTTGGAAGCAGAAAGAAAACGGTAGGGCGCTGCTGAAGCCCGATTTGGAGAGGGGGGGGGCAAAACAAACCACTCAATCTCATATCATCTGCTGCCCGCCAAAATATCACGATCTTGCTTGTCGAAAAGAAAATCTACAGATGCTCTGTTTCAAATCGCACGTCGTCACGCGGACTAGTATATATCACTTTGCTCGTGCATCGTGCACAAACAAAATAAATCAAATGGTAAACATCGCCAGAAAACTAGTTGAACTTTATAGCTTATAAACAGTAGTAATTGGCTGATTTGTTATAGGATATAAAACGGTCGATAATATCAAGACATTGAATAATAAACTTCCTTCAATGAAATTGCACGTGCAATAAGGTAGCACCGTATATGTACGTCATGAGCTCGCATTCTAGGAAGTTATAAGACACGTGAGACTAAACATGCACGAATATCTTTTTTGTTTTTATATGGTTCAGACTTATTCATCGGTCAAACTACTGTAATAAATAAATGGCATGTGTAACGCACACGAGTTTGAAATCTTGGGTCATCGAAAGTAGCGGTAAACGCGTGTTGATTTACCAAGCGTGAAAGAAAAGTTCGTGGGAGAGTGGCTTAGAAAAGGTTATCACCCGTCTTCTAAGTTCATGAACTTTATTGCATTCCTGTAATAACAGTTGTACGGCTTTTACAGTTTTAACTACCTATAATATGTGTGTTGTAAAACACGCATTCGTTCTTTACACTTGTAGGTATGAAAGAAAAAGAACAACAAAAAAAAAAAACGGATCAACTGGAACAGAGTATAAAATGTTTTTCTCCAGTTTCATGTTTAGTACACGGTCACCCGGATCATTTACACTAACATAATGTTGTAACAAACACTTCTGGAATTTTGTTTAATGCTGTTTTAAATACTAAAAGTCAGTTAGAAGGTAGAACAAGTAAATCGCCGTGGGTGTCTGACCCTCAGTCGTCATATTGGAGACCGTGTCCAGTGACAAACGTAGTGGTGACCATATCCCATTCGATCTGAAACTTGAAAAATCTGAAGTAACGGTGGGGAAGCAGGGGGCAGACAGACAAAGCTTGTAATGATTGAGGGACGGCGCCTTACCTGAGACTTTATCAGATAGTTTGTTTTGCTACAGGTAGAAGTCCCGGGGATGGTAGAAGAGGCTCAAGGTCGCTCAGTCTCAGAGTTGTCAGGACTTACATTAAAAAAAAAAAACATCTTGCAAAAAAAATCTGTGCGGACAAGAGGAGTCAAAGCAATGTTAAAAAGAGTAAAAGCTGCACGAAATGTTTGAATATATATATTTGCATATACAAAATTTACCTATATAAAGGTAATTAAATAAACCAACATAGAGTTAAATCACGTTAAAAATAACTTAAAAGAAACGAAAAACTTCTAGCGTTTTCAATAAGCTGACATGTCGAAAGTATCAGGGTTTCATTGTTTTTAATTTAATATTGTTACGTATTACAATTTCGAATGGTCTGAAACCGAGCTAAATGATAATTTAAATTTAGTAATTAAATAAATACCGATATGTATCCAGTTTGAGATATTTGCCAACAAGATTGATACACACAGTTTCTTTTTTAATACAAATATGTTTTAATATATAAACAACAATGCAATTTACAATAACAGTTATTACAAACAATGATTTATATACAAAAGTTTTACGAACTTACTAACGATATAAAGTGTTCTTTCTGGTCTGGAACTTCCTTGATGTCTTATCGAGGATTCACGATGAGCGAGTTAATTTCGAGTTATAGGTACGATTCACTTAATAGGGAGCTAGCTAGCTCTGTGGTCTTCGCTGATTACACGTCGATTTTTTTCCACCGTTGAAGTTATATAATGTTTTCTTAAAAGTACTAATGTCCGATGTGAATCCACTGAAGTTGAATGATTTGTAATGTTCGAAATTTATAAATGTCCCTGGTCAATATACCTGAAGTTCCCGATTAATATGCGCTAATCACAGTTATAGCTTACGAAGTTTATAGCACACCAACTATAATGTCAATAAACGTACATCACGTATAATAGTTAAACGAATCGCCTAAACGTCACGTTAATGTAGCCTATATAATGTGTAAAATTTAGTATACTCTAATCCCTTATAGTGATGGCATACGACGAGACACACATTCGACATGTAATGCTGTGTGAATACAAGAAAGGAAACAACGCCTCTGTAGCCACAAAGAATATCAAAGAGGTTTATGGAAATGTTTTGAATGTTCGTAAGTGTCAACGATGATTCAGCAACTTCCGTTCAGGTGACTTTAGCCTTAAAAATTGTGATGGCAGGGGCCAACATGTTGGAATTAATATTGATGCTCTGAAGACGCTTGTTGCGTCTAACTCAAGGCAACGTGAAATGGCTCTGATATTGCATGTCTTTCATGAAACAATACGTAAACATCTAAGGAATATGGGAAAACTCAATAAAAACATGTGAACGTTGCTTCGTCTCTTCTGGCGCGTAATGCGCGTGAACCAATTTTGGACAGAATTGTCACCGGTGATGAAAAA